CCTCCATTATTAGAGTTCTTTATTTTGGTAGCCTCTCTAATCTCCCTCAGCATTTTAATGTCAGTATCGCTGTCCTGGTCAGGTGGTCGGTAATATATCCCTACTGCTAATTTCTTATTATTGGAGCATGGAATTACTATCCATAGCGATTCTATTGAACATGTTGATTCACTTAATATTTTTATTTCATTTGATTCTACATTATCTTTCACATACAGTGCCACTCCGCCACCCACCCGGCCTGCTCTATCCTTTCGATATATTTTATATCCTGGTATGATTGTGTCCCACAGATTTTCCTCATTCCACCAGGTTTCAGTGATGCCTATTATTATCAATCTCCTCATTTAATACGAGGTACTCTAATTCACCCATCTTATTAGTCAGACTCCTAGCATTTGTGTAGAAGCATTTTAATAATTTGCCACTGCTTATTTGTCTGCCCTTCCCTGATGCATTGGATTCCTTTGTATGCGGTTGATTGTCTGCTCTGGCCCAGGCCAAGACTTTTAAGTCATCTCTAGACAGATGTACAATAGCCCAAAGGAGACAAAAAAATTATTTACAGTAGCTGCCAGGACTCATTTATAAAATAAGAATACGTTATAGGACTGCTGTTTGTGAATTTGGTGATAAAAATGTTTACCTGAAGACAGGAATCCCCACCACTGAGTAAATGTCATTTAGATGTACAAAGAGCTGAAATGGGAAAAAAAGGTACATTAAAAAGGTAGCCAGCATCTAAGTTAATATGGCGGCAGTTATAAGAAATTGAGGCCAGTGTTTTATATTATTCAAGGAACATTCTTGGACACTAAAACTTCCTCCCAACTTCACCAGCAGGTTTTGCAGGAATTGGATTCCTCCAAAAGGCCAAAACAAAGCACAACTGCTTAGAGCTTGGACTCTGAAAGCCTTGAAGTAATTTAGGAGTACAAATCCCCAAGCCTTTTAATGGGACTTGTGTTCCTAAGCCAGTGCAGTATTTTTGAAAGCCTCATCCTTAGAACTGCATGTCACAAGGGCCCCCAGTCTTTATGAAAACTGGTTTATGAATATGAATAAGCTGAATATGCTTTAAATAAAATACCTCATGTAACAATTGTAAAAGGTCTGATCTGCTGAACGTGTGTATATAGTAATATGTAGCCAGCTAACTCACGGGATTGTACATCCCTAGTAACAAGTTTCTTCGTGGATTACAACTAGGTGGCATTTGTTTGATTTAATTTGGTATTTTACTTTGATTTGACTCTCTCACTTGCAACCACTTAAAACCAAAGTATAAAAAATAGGATTTGAGTGGTTGCAAGTGAAAATAGTCTGCTCAAAGTAAGTTACTCAATTCAAATGAAAACATATTTAGTTCTTATTCACTAACAAACTTACTGCAGGCAGATTCTTACCCTAAAGAGCTGTTCTTATTTCAGGCACAATCTTCAAGACAAAGACCAACTCTTTTGTTCGGACATGGGTCTCTTTCAAATTCTGTGTGTCCTTTTAGAGTGTGCCAGGCATCTTCCCAGGCTGGAGGTGGCCATATCTGTGTTGCCTCAATCACCCTCATGTGCTCTGATTACTTCTCAGAAGCCTCTTGCTGCGGGACAAGCCCAAAAAAGAAACCAACAAAACACCACTGACCATCACCTACAGTCCTCAGCTAAAACCTCTCCAACGCATCATCAGTGATCTACAACCCATCCTGGGCAACGATCCCTCACTTTCACAGGCCTCGGGAGGCAGGCCAGTCCTCGCCCACAGACAACCCGCCAACCTGAAGCATATTCTCACCAGCAACTACACACCGCACCATAATAACTCGAACTCAGGAACCAATCCATGCAACAAACCTCCGTGCCAACTCTGCCCACACATCTACACCAGCACAGGACCTAACCAGATTAGCCACACCATCACTGGCTCATTCACCTGCACATCTACCAATGTAATATACGCCATCATGTGCCAGCAATGCCCTTCTGCTATATACATTGGCCAAACTGGACAGAATCAACAGACAAATCAGATATTAGGAATGGAAATATACAAAAACCTGTAGAACACTACTTCAATCTCCCTGGACACACAATAGGAGATTTAAAGGTAGCCATCCTGCAGCAAAAAAACTTCAGGACCAGATTTCAGAGAGAAACTGCTGAGCTGCAGTTCATCTGCAAATTTGACACCATCAGCTCAGGATTAAACAGAGACTGAATGGCTAGCCAATTACAAAAGCAGTTTCTCCTCTCTTGGTGTTCACACCTCCAGATCAGCTGCTAAAAGTGGGCCCCATCCTCCCTGATTGAATTTACCTCATTATCTCTAGCCTGATTCTTGCCTACATATTTATACCTGCATCTGACAAATTGGGTCTTTGCCCATGAAAGCTTATGCTCCAATACATCTGTTAGTCTATAAGGTGCTACAGGACTCCTTGTTGCTTTTGCAGATCCAGACTAACACAGCTACCCCTCTGATACTTCTCAGATTATGTCACTACAGAGAAACAAGAAGGGGGCAAGACAGGGGGACCAGGCTACCCACTGACTCCACTGGATTCCGACTCAGGGATTTATCAGTGTCCAATCACCCACCAAGCTACCCCAAACTGTATTTTCCATTTGGTCACTTTCTACCTCTCTGAAGTGTCAATTTGGTACACAATTGGAGGCTTCACAGACTCTCCTTGGTCTGGTTTTAGTCAGCCAGCCTCTCTTAGGGCTTCCAAATCCCCAAGAGGTGTGTGCAAGGGGGCGGGGGAGGGGAAGACACGACACACGAAGGGACTAAGATGGATTCAGACCATGCTGCTAGAGCAACTTGCACAAAGCTGTTGTCATTCTTGGCACAGCTCAGATCAGCCTTGCTTTTTGGAGCCATGTGCTGTCTACTCTCTTCACCCCCGTCCTGGCAACCAGTGTCCTTTTAAAGTGTTCCTGCCCTGCCCCTGTTGAGCCCAGGCCCAGCCCTAGTTCAGAGGTGGGCCTGTAGACACAAACATTCTAAAACCATATGAAAAGAAAAGTCACATCAAATCAGCACTTGACAGTGTCAAGATCATAATTCAGTTAACCAACCATTACCTCTAAATCAGGGTTTCTCAAATCTGCTTTCCACCCGAACTGTTTCATTAGAGTTATTCCAAGTACTTTTCCGACCTCCTGGAAAAACAAAGACCACGGTCACTGAAAGCCACTCAGATGGAAAGGAATCTGACCATTACAAATGACAAAAAACAGTTACATTAACCCTTAAAGCAAGGGTGGGCAAGAGGCAGCTAGAAGGCCAGATTTGGTCCACCAAGCCACCAGATCTGATGCATGGCTGCCTCATTGGGATCTCTAAACACAGGGCAGCTGCAGCCACTTTAAATGCGGCTCCTCTATGCTGAGCACGAGGCTTTGTGCTCTGTCTCCCCGCAAAAAAGTCTCTTAGTTCCCGCTGGCCAGTTTCCACCAAATAAGAGCTGAGAAATTTTGCAGGCAGCAGGGGCAGCCAATGAAGCTTCCTCCCGCCTTTCCTCTTCCCCCCCACCGCCCAAGCAGAGCCACTTGCGAATGTAGCCTTTGGGTTTCTGCAGGACTGCTGTCTAGGAGCCACCTAAGTAAATGTCTCCCAGCCAGAGCCTGCCTCTGGCACCCTCCCTCTCCCCAACAGTCTGCCACAGGCCACCAAACCCTCTGTACCCCTTTCCTCCAGGTCACAATTCCCTCCCAGACCCTGCACCCCTTCCTAATCCCCCAGGCCAGAATCCTGTCCTGATCTATACTCTGCACTCCAAGCCATGCCCCAGATCATAAACCCCTCCTTCACCCAAACTCCCTTTCAGACTCCATGCTCCCTCCTGTACCCAAGCTCCCTGCCCCAAGCTCCTTTCTGCACCCAACCTCTGTCCCAGACCCCACATCCTCTCACTAGAAATGCGGCCCTTGACCTCTTGCCAAAAATCTTGGAATGGCACCCTATTAAAAATTATTGCCCATCCCTGCCTTAAAGAATTCACAAGCAATTTATAGTGTAATGTGACATCAGCCAGCCCGTTTCTATACATATATATAAAAAAAATCATCAAAAGTTGTCCTAATATCACAACTAAAATTTAACAATTCGATTTCAGCTCTTATTCTGCTCTTAAAATATAGTTACGTAAGTGTAATTGGTGAGAGAATTCTTCCTCAATCTGCGAGCCCTGTAAACTTCACCTACTGTGAGACAAGCTAATTTTCACAGAATCATAGAATACTAGGACTGGAAGGGACCTTGAGAGGTCATCGAGTCCAGTCTCCTGCCCTCATGGCAGGACCAATTTTTTTCCTTCATCATGAGGGGTGTGTCTAGACTACAGGGTTTTGTCGACAAAACTATACCTGTGTCCACACTGCCTTTGAGTTATGTCGACATAATGTTGACAAAACTCAGCAGTTTTGTCAACGTATGTAAACCTCATTCTACGAGGAATAACGCCTTTTGTTGACAGAGTTCTGTCGATAGAAGGCATTATTGCATCCACACTGTTATGTCGACAAAGCGGCTTGCTTTGTCGACAGAACTGGATGTAGTCGAGACGCTCTTTATCGACAGAAGCTTTGTCGACAGTATCTATCGACAAAAGCCTGTAGTCTAGACATACCCCAAGAGACTCTGTATGCCAAATTAAACCCCTGCAAAGGGAACATTTACAGTTCATTCTCACTTTAGAAAGATTGCAGATTTTAAAAAATACTCCTTTTATTTAAAATGTGCAATAAATGTATGTCTGCCCACTAGAGAGTTGCTTTGCAACCCTCTATTATTTTCAACGTGTGCATAGTTTTACATCAATGTAATTGTTCAAACTACCATCAGTTAGAAGAATTAATGTAACTCAGCTGTGTTAGTTATATATAGAGCTAACAGGAACAGAAAGTAGTAAGATGCCCACTTAAGTAACAAACCAGATGATTCTAGGGTTACAATAAAACCATCAAGTATGGATGTGCTTTTGCACCTTTTTTTTTTTTTTTAAGAAATTATGAATTGTTAGATAACTAGCTTCCTTCCTTACCCATAAATATCAAATCACGGACTAATTTCTTCTCAATATCTATATGGCGCATACAATTGAAGCGACCTTTAGTTTTTCTGAATATATTTGGAAGATCTTAGTATTGAAAAAAGTCTCCATGTTTATAACACCCAACTGGAGCCAGTCATTTCTACAAACTTTGTATAATAATTCAAAGAAAATGGTGTTCATTGCTTCACAGGTGTTTAGCAGTTCTCCTACCGAGAGGTACTTTATATCAAACATAAGGCAAGCTGTATATTAAGGCCGTTTTCTAGACAAAATTAAGGTTTCATGACTGACTTGGACTCAGATTTATAGAATCCAAGGGCAGAAGGAATCACTGTGATCATCTAGTCTGACCTCCTGTATAACAAAAAGCAGCCACAGAAGTTCCTTAATATAATTCCTAGAGCACATCATTTAGAAAAATGCTCCATCTTGACTGTAAAAGTTGTCAACGAGGTATGTACAATCCCATTTAATTCAGCTATTCATTTGAAAAGTTGTTTTGCCCTAAAAATGCCCTGAAACAGGCAATAATGTGTGTTTCTTCTCAACTTTAACTTAACCATGAATAATCAGCATTTAGAAATTATTATTGAGCTGCTTACTAACCAAACACATATAATTGATTATATAATTATGATTTAGTTACTAGGTATTTCATTACATCCTTCGGGCATTTTGATTGATCATACCTGTGAAGTAAATACTTTTGCAATTGCTCCACTACAGCGACAAGAAACTCTGAAACTGCGGTTATTGCTTTCAACTGATTTATCTAATCTACTTTCAGGTGTCTCTTTTAGAAAAGTTTTGCTTTCAGTCAACAAATCCATGTTATTGTTTGTTTCTAAAACCATATTCGTCTTTTGCTCTTCAACATCAAAAATTGTCTTTATTTGTTCGGTCTTCTGTTTTTTTGTTACAATATTTATCTCTTCTGATTTTCTTTTAAGGGATTCTGGATGTCCTTTACAGAGGTTTCCTTGTTTGACCTTATTTTCATGAAGATGTTTCCAAATGGAAATAATATCCAGCCAATGTCCGGGGTCCTCAATTACAAGTTTTTGAATTTCATGAAATACTTTTCCTAAAAAAGATATGAGCTTAGTTTATTCTGTGTTAACATTTTAATGAACACTATTCATTCTTATTAATCGATGTGAAAGCCTTACCAAAAAAAAAAATTACCGATTTATTTTCATGAATAAATAAACTGTACTGTTGCTCAGGGCTTCTACATAGTCACACAAGACCAAAATCAGCACAATGAATAAGGTTAGGATCATTATAGTTTCCACCCAAATTCTCCTATAGCAAAAACTCTTAAAACATTTCATACAAAAGGCATTTAAGACAATAGGTGTTAAAGAGAATTATTAACTTCTTAAATTTGTGAATTCATTAACTCCCAAGGCACCAGTAGTGACTGAATCGAAGTATTGTACTGTATTTGCAATTCTCATCTGATTTGGTTATGGCTGATGTTAACTGAATCGTATCCTGCTTTGTCCCCAGCCTTGCTCCTCCCTCTGCTCAGATACTTAAAGAGATCTTCATGTTGATGGGCCAATTTTTGGAGCTAGCTCATGGCTGGGAAGCCAGCATAGTTTAATAATGCTGGAAGGGCACAACAAATGGGGTTCCACAGGGGTCTGTTTTGGAACCGGTTCTGTTCAGTATCTTCATCAATGATCTAGATGATGGAATAGAGATTACGGTTATTAAGGTTACAGATAATACCAAGCTGGGAGGGGTTGCAACTGCTTTGGAAAATAGGGTCAAAATTCAAAATGATCTGGACAAACCAGAGAAATGGTCTGAGGTAAACAGGATGAAGTTTAATAAGGACAAATGCAAAGTGCTCCACTTAGGAAGGAACAATCAGTTTCACACAGAATGGGAAGTGATCGTCTAGGAAAGAGTACTGCTCAAAGGGATTTAGGGGTCATAGTGGACAAGTTAAACATGATTCAACAGTGTGACACCGTTGCAAAAAAGCAAACATAATTCTGGGATGCATTAACAGGAGTGTGGTGAGCAAGACACGAGAAGTCATTCTTCTGCTCTGCTTTGTGCTGATAAGGCTGGACACCACATTTCAAGAAAGATTTGGAAAAACTGGAGAAGGTCCAGAGAAGAGCAACAAAAATGATTAAAGGTCAGTTGCCCCTATTGTTAAATAAGGATATTGCTTATTCAGCTTTATAAGGCATTCGGAAAAGCTGCTCTGCTATGAAGAGCAGCCAAAGTTAAATCTGTTTCCCCATGTAATGCAGAAATATGTATCCATGAACTAACTTTTTAAGTTACATTTTACTCTTGTTAACAATGCAGAGCCAACCCATTTACAGAAGCAGGAACTAGAGTATATTCCTTCCTTTGCATTAGCAACAGAACTATTCACTAAACAGAAAAGCCAAATTGGTGTTTGCTGTGGTTAAGTATGGCAATAAAGGGTACGTCTACAGTGCACAGAGGCATCCTGAAATAGCTACCCCGCATCTACACAAGCCACCCATTATTTCAAAATAACGGGTGCGCTATTGCAGCATCCCGGTAAACCTCTTTGCACGGGGGTTAAGGGATGGCTCGAAATAGTGCGTTATTTCAAAATATGGCACGGTGTAGATGTGCCAAATTTCAAAATAGTTTCAAAATAAGATGGGCAATTTGCATATCTTATTTCGAGTTTAGGGTGCTGTGTAGACACACCCAAAGTCTACAAAGGTGTAAGTAAATAGTTAGTCCACAAAACCTGACAATTAGGTAAGAAGGAAAGACCCGAACTGTAAATAAATAAATATGTGATTAACTTGAAGTACATGAGTAGACCTATTGACTTCACTAGAGTAAAACACTGAGAAACTGAATGTTGGAAAAATAAAACTAGGACAAGTATTATGATCTTCAGTTTTCCTCAGTACACAGATGAAAATAGATAGGTATCTCTTTTCTTTTTTTAAACTTTAGATCCAGGGATAAATTTGATCCTTCATGAAAAGTTTTAGAATAATTTTCTAACTCCTAATCTAATTTTATCACCACTACTTTCATCTGATTCTAATCTTCTGACTCAGATACTTATAACATTTGAAACTTCACATCACAAATAATCCACCTCAATTTAATAGAAAGCCTTTCACATTCTTAGTTGATAAGGACTACACCTACAAAAAAAATGAGGAATCCTGTTACGTGTTGTAATTTTTTGCATACCGTAACGGTTATCTTTCAGGAGTAGACAAGTACTTCCATGTCCTTAGAGAAAAAGGTGATTATGTCTTATTGCTTATGACATTTTAAAATAATGATGGAATTATTTTCCTAATCAGATTTCAACCAGAGTTCATAATATTTTGTGTAGAAAGAAGAGGAAAAATAATAAACAGTACCTTTATTTCTGGAGAGACAAATTGGAGCATGTTTTTTCAGTAACAAAAATAATCTTTCTCCAGACTTCAGCTTCTTCAATTTACACAACTCAGAATTGGTAGTAAAGAAGACTTTTCCTGAAAGATACTCCACCTAACACACAGAAGAAAAGTCTAAAAAATAGTCTCTAAATTTGGTTTAGGCTCACCAAAAGAAACGTACCATGTGGCTGCACACCATCACAGTAAGCACTGTAGCACCTTTGACTCCATCCAACCACCTTTGACCACAGAAAGCAGACGAATACACTGAAGAACATCACTATATTAATCTCCTGAGTTTGATATTGTTTAAAATACAGATTTTTTCAGATCTGACCTTAAATCTATCTGTTACGTACCTGAGAACATTAAAACCCATGAGGCACTTTGACACTGGGGAAATCCCCAGTGTTTACACTGCACATTTTTCTCTGCTCAACTTATTGTTTACCAACTGACTGCTGCCCTTCACTTGAGGGGTTTCTGTAGATCCGACTTACATCAGATCCCTACTTACAAACGGGGTGAGGCAACCCCGCACTAGCTGCTTCCCCCCAGCAGACCAGGGAGACGCGAAGCTATGCGCTCCCCCACCCCCAGAAGAACAGGGAGATGCGGAGCGGTTTTTCTCAGCAGACACCTCAGCTTGAGAATAAAGGACTGAGGGAAGTGAGGTGTGGGAGAATAAAACTGAGCTCTGGAGAAATGTTTGGCTAGAGTTTCCCCTACAATATGTACCAGTTCCAACTTACATACAAATTCAACTTAAGAACAAACCTACAGTCCCTATCCTGTACATAACCCGGGGACTGCCTGTAGTTCCCATCACATTGGGTGTATTGTATAAGATAATGTGAGTGTTTGTCCTAAAGTATCATTAGCACACAGACATTTACCTCCCCCCCCCCCCTGATTTGTCCTTTTCATATGTGTTCATTTTTTTAATTGTATCCTTTGGTATATATGGTTGTGACAATTTTCTTCCACTATTTGATCTGAGGAAGTGGGTCTGGCCCACGAAAGCTCATCACCTAATAAACCATCTTGTTAGTCTTTAAAGTGCTACGTAGTCCTGTTTTTTGTTTCACTCACACTATAAATGCACAATATTATTACACTATACTCCTTTGAAGCTATAACGGGCTGCTTTAATTGGACATCTCCAAGAAAACAGATTTAGGCTACTTATGACTATCTGAGAAGCAGGGCTTGACAAACCACAGCAAAATCTACTCACCAGCCCCGCACTGCACATGCGCCAGACCCACATTGCGCATGTGCATGCCACTGGTGAACGGGGCAACCAGCTGAAATCTACTCGCCAGGTCCATTCCATCAACTAATGGAATAATTAACTGCCAATTAACATCCCTACTTATGACTATTGCTTAATTGGGAAAGTAAGAGTTAAACTAAATGTTAAAATAGATGTGAAATGTTAAGCACTGATCTCTAACATACAAGTTGTCAAATGAAGAGTGAGGGAAAGATTTTCCTGCAGACTGGGAAGACCAATAAAAGAGTAAAATGCAGGACAATGTAGCACTTTAAAGACTAACAAGAAGGTAGAGTCCAACACCATCTGGTGGAAATATGCAAAAATTACCTTCAAGAATCTTTACAAAAGTTGAGGAATGAAGAGGTAGGAATAACAAGTGTTTTAAAATCAAATTAGGCTACTTTGGCAATTTCGCAAATATCACCTGAAATGCCATTTAGCAGGTAGCATAGACCTAGTTCAGTAATTTTACAATTGTGCTAGGTAGTCCTGTTTTAACGTGGGTTATGTGACAGGTAACTCCAGTTACACAAGGGGATCAGAAAAACAACAAGAGCAGATAGAAAAAAATCCATTTTTTGTTTTCTGAAAAGAGCACATGAAGAAACAGACACCGCACCCCATCGAGATCAGAAGTGCACCTTAAAAGATGCATTAAAAAGATGTGAGCAACAAGACCCTCAGTCTCACCACACCACTTTCAATTTTCCCAAGTAAAACTCCCATACTCTGTCCAAGACTGTATGGACTGTTTCTCCCTCTGAAGTCCCATCCTTTCACCAGCCACCCTTGGATCCAAATGAACAAGAGATGTATTTCCAGTACGGGCCCAACAGGTTTTCAAACACAAGCAGAATTTTAATACACAGTAAATGCCAGAGGGGAGCCGCCCTCTACAGCAGGGTTCAAAAACATGTTGGCTAAGAGCAAACAAACATGGTCCACACTATCTATTTTATCCTGGCGTGCACAGGACCCAAACCTGCTTGGGGAGAGACCCACATGGCAAACTCAGCCAAAGGCTCCCCAAAGCCTCCTAGCCCATTGGAGACCAGCCCCCCCACAGCCCTGGATCCCTGCAGAGCCCCCCCACTTCCTTTGT